CAAATTCTCACCATATCCTACCCCAGGCCACTCTCCCTCATCCCTCAGGACCTGCAGCCATCATAACAGCTGACTTTCCGCTTCTCCCACAGCCAAGGTCTTTTTCCTTTTAGGAACTTCATACCTGGTTTTCCTTCTGCCTGGAATGTCCTCCCATCTCCTACCCCTTCCTTCTCTCATCCCCTGATCTGGCTAACTCTACTTGATCCCTGAACATCTCATTTTAAATGCCAATTCCTCAGGGGGTTGTCCCAGCCTGGAACCCTCACCAACTTCTCAGTGGAAATCTCATGTCCCTGTCACACCGTCACAGGACCTCTATTCCCCCGGGCACCTGGCACAGGTGGGGGCTGCGATGATCTTGCTGGGCCTCAGCACCTAGCACAGAACCTCCCAGCACACAAGCACCCAGCCGAGCAGATGAGAATACAGGCCACACCAAATAATCCATCGAAACATCCACATGTATTTAAAAACCAACAGGATGCTCTCAAAGTAGTTTTTCTTATTAACTATGAATAGGTGCCCCTTCCCCCAAACTCTTCAGACACAAAAAGCAAAAGTTTCACCATGCCCTCTGAACTTACTTGAAAATGCTCAACGCAAGCCAGCAGAGACCCTGCCTGCAGCTTTCCCATCACGCTGCATTTCATAAGTTTTCTGCCCTCTTTCAGCATTTAAGCAATAACAACAACAACAAAAAGTACACCACCACAGTCTGGCCGGCTTTGCTCCTCGGGATGCAGACTGCTTTCTTATCCCATACCTCAATGCTCATTACACAACAAAACGCACAAGACCGGGAATGACTAGAAATTCAGCCCAAGGTCAAAATTCCACATCGACTTCAAAAGGAAGCCCCCAAGATAAAGTGGTAGGAAATTTTGAAGCCTTGTGCCATCTTGTAAGATACACACTATACCAAAACACCACCATTTTTGGTACAGAATCTTTTTTTGCTGGGTACAAAGGAAATTAAAATGAAAGTCTTTGTATAGCAAGGACACCGGGGGTGGTATCCGGCGGGGGGCGGCTCCTAACCCCACAGCTCATGGACTGCCTGAGGCGAGTGGGCCAACACTCAAGTACCACCACTTAGCACAACCCCGCTGCCTGGCCCTCATGGGGGGAGGGAGCACAAAGAATTAGAAATATAAATTTAAAACATCACAGAGAATGAACTAGGAGCTAGTTGTGTGAATCCAAAAATGGGCCTGGGGAGGCCAGGAAGAGGAGAGGGTCCTGGAACCTGAATTTCTCAGGCGTGTGGGGAGGCAAGAAAGGAGAGAGGGAAAGCAAAGGAGAGGGAGGGAGGGAGGGATCTCTAGTGTAAAGTCCTATTTTCTGGCTGGCCAAAAAAAAAAAAAAAAAATTCAAGACAGCATCTTGGGGAATAATTTCCTCTCTTCTGAACCCAGATTGGGAACTGCTGGATGATAATAAACAAGATGCAGTATCAGTTACAGTAACTAAAATTTGTGGGGATTGCTTCTTAATTTAAATATTATTTGATCAACTGAACTCTACTTGTCAAAGATATTTATTCTTGGGGCGCCTGGGTGGCTCAGTCATTGAGCGTCTGCCTTCGGCTCAGGTCATGATCCCAGGGTCCTGGGATCGAGCCCCGCGTCGGGCTCCCTGCTCCGCGGGAAGCCTGCTTCTCCCTCTCCCACTCCCCCTGCTTGTGTTCCCTCTCTCGCTGTGTCTCTCTCTGTCAAATAAATAAATAAAATCTCTTAAAAAATATATTTATTCTACACGTCTACTTTTTTATAATGTGGTAACCCATGTACCACATGAAAAAAAAATCTAGGTTAAAATCTTCTGACAAAAAGCTTTAGTTTCAATTCCCATGTGAAAATTTCTGCCCCAAATGGGTACTAGAGAAAGTTATTTTCTTAGCAACCGGTGATACTGATAGTCTCTAATGATTACTAACAAACACCGAACACTTCTTGAGTTTCAAAAGACAACATTAGAAATAATTATGAAATAACTTGGTCCAGAAATTACAATAAACCCAAATTTCGGAGAAATTAGGAAGCAATCCTTAGACAATTATTTTGAAACATGTCTGATGAAACACTGTGATGTGACAACGTTTTCTTTAAGAGAATGAAAAACAAAACGAGAGGAAGAGCCCAGGATCTGGAGCAGAGTTAGCCATCCGCCAGCAGAGCTGAACACAACCCAGACTCTTTGGGCCAGTGCTGAACTATACACAGACCCAAATGATACCTCAGCCCTCATCCAGAATGCGCCCTTTATAAATACAAACACGCTGTGCCTGCCAAACTGACTTTAGTTGGCTCATTGCCCTATGTCCAGTGAAAAGGGAATCATCCATTCACAGTCCCAAGGTGTAGGGCTCCTCTGTTCCCAAAACTGTATGTGACCACTGGATGGGTGCAGAGGTCAACCATCACAGCCTTTCTTCCACCCGACCTGCCCATGTCCCTCTGCCAACCCCTCCCACTCCAGCACCCCCTCCTCACCCCTTAGTGTCAGGTGAAGACCGCCGAAATGCACAATTACGGGGCTAATCCGTACAACCAAAGACACCAATCAGTTGTCACAGCATTAAGTACGTCACAAATTTGCTTTCCTTTTAGCCCAGCTGATGGCTTTTTCTCCTCTGTCCCGTTCTCAGAGCCCACCCTCCTCCACAGCCTAGAACCTCTATGCAGCGGCCATTCCCTAAGGCCCCAGGAACACAGCGGAAAGCACAAAAGTTGAGGCAGCTGGTTGTGGTTCCTTGGGACAAGGGTCTCCATCTGAGGTGTGGCGAGTGCTCCCAAGTGTTGGAAAACACGCCTCCTAGACAGCAGAGTTTGAAGGAACTGAAAGTCCCCTGCGCTCCCCTTGCTAATAAAATCTACACTGGATCTGGATAAAACATCTTCCTTCCCATCTCCTCAGATTGTTCCTTTCTAAACATGAAAAGAAGTACTTAGGGTCTACACTGGGACCACTGGTCCTGTGGGCTATCTGGAGCTCTCTCTTGAGTGGGTTAGCCCCACTCTCCTTGGGTGATGGTCACCGGAGCAGGCTTGCAACCTCCATCTGCACCCACGAGGGGCCATGTCTACTCTGAACCACTTCTAAGAATGGCACCTTCTCTCCACTCAAAGAGAAAAAAAGCCTCCAAGAGATTTTAAAGATAATGTCCTTTCTCTGTAGCTTAAAAAAAAAAAAAAGAAAAAGAAAATGTGGCAGCCCTGCCAAGCATTTCCAAAAGCAGAGAAATAAATTTCAAAGCCTAGACACATAATGGGAAATGCAGGGAGGCAGGAAAAGTGAAAAGGACATGCTTCCTCGTTTTACCCTCTAGGACACTGTAACTCTCACACTTTTTAAAAATCTTTGTATATGGCTAAAATGGTTTTTATAGGGCATTCACGTTTCTCAGAGAAACCTGCATCAGAACCCCAAACCAACAACATCCTGCCGCCTATGACACTACCCCTGATGATGACCCAATTTATAGTTCACAGAACAGAACCAGCCACAGAAAAGTTACTTTCTACTCCCTTAGGAAGGAACATGCCACGAGGCCCCGGAAGAGGAGCCGAGAACTGGGTCCCGTCCTCGCTCGGGCCACTAACTCAGCGTGTGACATTGGGCAATTCACTTAGGGCATCTCTGGGCCTGTTTCCTTTTCTGAGAGCAGGTTGGGCCGAGATGATCTAAGGTCACTTCCAGCCCTGAAATCTTGACACTACAGGAGTATGTGTAATTATGAGCATCCATGTTACTGTGGGGCTGGAGGAAGGAGGAAGCTTCTGGAAAAATGTCAACCTTGCTACGTGCCTCATTTATAACATAAGAATTTGTAGAACATTTTCACACACGAGGACTCAAGATGTGGTTTAACGGAAATAAATCACTTTGTAATAATATACACATACATATATATTTAATATTCATATAACAGAGGCATAATTCATTAAATATATACTCAATTATAGCAAGCTACAAAGTAAGGAGGCAGTTAGCCTGAAATCTGACACAATGCGTCTTAAGATTTTTCTACTTAAGAAAATCATTTTGCCATTTTTAGAAATTACAAGTAACATCGAGGCAAAATATATTAATGGGTAACATTTTGTGTTACTTAAATAAAAAATACATGAATTATTTCATGCTTTGCATAATTCTACCTGTCACAGATTCGTTATAAAAATGTGTCTTCCATTAATTATTTCAAAAGTAGGAAGTCCAGCTCATGATATAAACAGATGGAAGAGAATATTCTAATAAGGCTGAGCCACCTTCTCAAGAGGTTAATTTATAAATTCCACTTTCAGAGCCTACAAAATCCAAAAGTACATTAAAAATATATGTAGACACACAATTTATGTTGTAGTCTCTCACTACTAAAACAAATGTTTCATATGTTAAACCCACAGGCTCTCAAAGCCACGGATGTACAGATTAAGTTTAACTTAAGCCTTTCTAAATTCATTTCTACTCTCCGTTTGCAAGCAACCAGCCCAGATAAAATTTGCTGATGCTAATGTAGAATGTTACTTTCCAACAATTAAGATAAATCGGAGTGGGAGGGGATTGGAAAGTCTCAAATCCAGCGCTTCCCTTTTGAATTTTCTAATTCCCTCTTCTGCAACTCACCTCCACTAAATGAGTTTTTCAGAAAAGGATCTGGGGGTTGTGTGTTTTAAACTGCTTTGGCACCATTTCCAGTCTCCCCCAAACCATGGTGATAGTGCCCCACTAACTGGAAACCACAAGGCTAGACTAACCCAACACCAGGAGGAAGGGGTGGTGGGAAGATCTGGAAAATTTCCGGGTGGGTAACAATCACTGAGGTCTAATAGCAGAAAACAAATTATCTTCTAGATATAAACCATATCCAAGACTATTCCAAAAATATATATTTTTAAAGAGAGAAAAACGGATGAACAAGGCCTGTTATCAACAAAAGAATATTTTCTTCATCTCCCCCCAATCAAGGAAGCAATGGCCTTTGTAAGGTCACTTACAACAATGTGTGCCGGTGATGGAGAGCGGGCATCCTTGAGGGCTTGTCTGCTCTGGAGGGTCCCCGCCTGGACATCAAGCAGTGGCCATTTCATCTGGAGATACTGGAGGGAGGAAACAAAATGAACGTGGCAAATGAATTTAGAAAAGAAACGCAAAACCGCTATCTTCTGGGGTGCCTGATATACAGAGGAGAAACTAAAAGGAGTAAGGACATGCAAATAACAACACAGAAAAAAATGTAAAAGCATGCAAGTAACAACAACATCAACAGAAAAATCATGCCATACCAATAGGTTCTCCCTTAGAGCTCATGTTCAACAGGTAGGTGTGTTTACAGATCATCAACACTCTTAGCAACTATAGAGTTTGGTCTTTACATTCAAACGTCAGGCTGGCTCCAGATTACATGATTTCATTAGTCCTGTCTCACTTAGAGGGAAAAGTGGAGATGTGGGAGAGACAAGAAGAGAGAGAACACAGGCCTTCCAAAGGAAGAAAGCAAACAGGAGTCTCAAGCCAGAGGTGTCCAGGAGACCATCAATTCCAGATCTCTCTTTCAGTGACCTTCATTTCTAAATGCCATCATCCTTCACTTTAAAATTAAGTATACGTGTGACTGTCCTTTAGTAGAAACTACTCCAGTAGTTTGGGATGGAACTCCTCATCCAACCCAAAAGCTTATAAAACAAAAATATTTCTCAGGGCACCTGGGTGGCTTAGTCCGCTAAGTGTCCAACTCTTCATTTCAGCTCAGGTCATGATCTCAGGGTCTTGAGATCAAGCCCCAAGTCGGGCTCCACACTCAGCAGGGAGTCTGCTTGAGACTCTCTTTCTTGCCCCTGCCCCTCCCCCTGCTTGCTCACGCTCTCTCTCAAATAAATAAATAAATCTTTGGGGAAAAAAATACTTCTCAGTAAAAGATGTACAAACAGGGCACAGTACAATTTATACACCCATCCCAAAAGGCCCGAGAAATTCTTAAATACGCACAAGTTTACCACAGAAATTAACTTAAAGGTATAAGCCAGTGACATCTATCTCTGCTCTTCTCTGAGGTGGAAAATACATGGCACAAGGGAAAGGAAGTTACTTCTGTTACAAGTGATACATCAGCTTTCAGAAGGACTTGAACAATCAACTGACTCAACTCCCTACTGAAGAAACAAGGAAAAGTGAGGTGAGGTGGCTTGCCCAGTCACAGAGATACTTAGCACACATACAGGCAACTCCAAGGCATTTGACTTTGGTGGGTAACATCACACCAGTTTTACTCAGGACACCTTCAGACAACTGAACAAACCTGAAGACACAACGCTAAGATTTTAATAAGAACATCATCAACCTTTCTATCACTGAAGGCCACCTGTTTAATGCACCAGTTAATGCTCGGAGGGAATATAAGGGGCCATCTTGATCTTTTCAGAGATCCCAAAGTGAAATAAATGGCTAGCTTTCATACAAATTGTACAGGAAATTTTACTCAATGCATATTAATTAAGCTCTTTGTACGTAGCCTTCTTGTGAAGGATTAAGGAGACAGGAAGATGTCTGCCCTCAGGGAGCTTATCCCCATGTGAGGGAACCAACTCACACTCAGATTAAGTCTAGATAGAATGTAGTGGAAATGGCAGAGGCTCAGGGAATTGTGCCTAGGGAATGCCAAGAAGGAAGACAGGATTTTTGAGTAGAGACTGGGGAAGGCTGCACAGAGTAGGTCTTGTTAAGTCAAGAAAGACTTCCGACAGAAAGAAAAAGGACAGCCAAGGGCAGTCCAGAAAGAAGGAAGGGTGGGCTCAAATCTCATGTGAAATAGAAGGGCAAAAGCCACACACAAGCTTTCCCATGGGTTCCTTAAAGATACAACTGTCCAGCGAAGTAAAACCAAACACAGTTATGCCTAAAACTAGAAGACCCTGGCCCACAAGCTACCTGCCAAAGTGCACAGCCAATTTCCCCACCTAGATCTGTACAAGGTGAGAGCACCTCTACAACCTCAGAGCTGTTACCCAGAAGGCTCTTGTGTGAGGGAACCTGGTTACTAGTTCTGGTGACTCACCACAAGACCTTGCATCAAATCCCTTTGCTTCTGTGGACCTCTGGATTTTCATCAGTCAACTGAGGGGGTTGTCCTATCTGGGATGGGGATGAGGGCGAGGCTGCCCCAGCACTTAAGAATTCTGGACTCCCAGACAGTAAATACCAGCAGGCACCCCACTCCCTGCCTCAGTCAGCCATATAATCAAGCCATTTCCAAGTATCTTCTTTGGGGACAGTAGCATCCCAAGTTGAGAGCCACTGTAATAAATGTTTCCATGGTCTCCCTCAGCCTATAACTCAAGCCAGTGGGCCATGGGAACCTATAACGCCCCATCTCATTCTTACTGCCTCCCATTCTCACCTGCCACGTAAGCAGACGAGCCTCATTGCTCAGAACCACTCAATACCATCATTTCCTTTGAGGCCAATCAAAATGGACACCTGCCAATACTCATCTCTCCTCTCATAAAATCCTGTGAGGAAAAATGCCAAGCTGAGTGCCACCCACCTATACCTCATGCTACCCTCAGTGGGCAGGGTTACATTAACAGACAGGTTTCCATCTCTGGCCATCTGCAAAACAGATTTGATCGCATCCAAATCCCGGCTCCACAGAATTCAGAAATTTAGGATTTGTTTAAGGTGACAGACCTGCCCTGAGGACCCCACCAGAGAACTGTCATACCCATAATGCAATATTAATGCAGAGTCTTATAATTCTTATTTTACATAAAAGCTTCATTGTGTGCCATATCCAATCTCCGCAGGCTACCTGCACCACTATTTTTATGAGCCTACATTTCAGCGCTCCAAGCCTACAATACACATAATTTTCAATTATGTTAGGGCAGCCCAGGATCACTGCCTATATAACATTACTGGTTGGAGGAAATGAGACTCGGCCCCACTGCCCAGAGAGAGCTAACCAAATCCAGATGGTGGAGGAAGACAGCCCCAATCGTGCTGGCTTACAAGGACTCCACGGTGACAGCCTCAAACTCTCCATCCCAGTGAAACTCGATCCCACAGAATGGCTGGGCCCCCGCAAATCTGTGCCCGTCCCTTGGAAATAACTGGCATTCAGGCTGACGAGGTTCCTTCTGGGGAAATAAGTATTATGTCAGGATTTTTCAAAGGAAGTTATTAACCTCCTCCAAAAGTGATGGGTTTCCCAGGTTCCTTCATCTTCTACAATTGGTCCTTATTAATAAGGAAAATAAATAAATAAAGGGAAGAAAAAGGAAATTAGGTACAATTATAGCCTTGAGGAAAATCTCTTCCTTCCTGGAGACACTAAACAGCGGGAAATTCTATTCTGTTGGGTCCTCAAGGAAGACCCGAAGGAGGAGGCATCTCAGATTTACGAAAGGGCTGGAACGCCATGCCACATTTTCCCCCTGGTCCAACTTCGGTTTTATATCCTTTTGGGGAAGAAAAAAAAAAAAGTTCCCACCATCCCACTATAAAAACAACACTGGGCTCCAGCTCCCTTCCTTTCAGGCCGCTCAACGTGGAAATTATGAATTGCCTACAAAAACATTAAACTTTTCAGCAAACTGCAATCAAACGGGAGCCGTGGGAATTCCTGCATTGAAAACTGTTGAAATGGAGTCCTGCTCAACTTGCATTTTGCAAAAAAAAATAAATAATAATAATAATAATAATAAATATATAAGGCCATCTTGGCTTAAGTGTTTCATCCTTTGTTTAATACTAATGTTCTGCTCATGGCCCATTAGGGTTTTTCCCCAAATCATATTTTATGATATGTCTCAGGGAGCTTAAGTTAAGCTTCAGACCTGTGGACAAAGTCTCAAAATACATACAAAACCAATGGTCTGAATGCAATCAAGGAGCTTTAAAAGCCTGTTAAATTGTCAGCAAAAAAAGAAAAAGGTAATGCAACTCGAACTTCTCCTCCCCCTCCTCCCCCAATTAAAAAAAAAAAAAAATGGACAAGGTAAGGCAAAGGGGGAGGGATCTTCCGAATCAGAAGACCCCTCCAGGATCCAGGTACAAATGGACCTGAGGGAACCTGCTCCCAACAAAGGCACCCCCATCCTCGTGGGTCCAGCTTCATTCAGTAGCAAGGAGGGCGAGGAGGGGCTACTTGGAGAACCCGCATCTATCTGAGGGCTGCTGAGGCCTTGGTACAAAAGTTAACATTCTAAACAAATAGGACAACGCAAAGGCCAATGATGATGCTGATGACAAAGTTCCCAGGAAACTCCACATCGCTGATAAAATACCAAAGGAGCTTGGCAGTACTTCCCGTCAGTCAGTCCACCTCACAGATGGACAGGCAAGGGGAGTCCGTCCCCTTACTTGTTCAGGACAGGGTTGGCAAACTTTTTCTGTAAAGGGCCAGAGTACATATCTTAGGCTTTGCAACCCACGCTGTCTTGGTCCTAACGGCTCGGCCGTGGTGACATAGAAGCAGTCATGGGCAATATGTGTACCTACTATGTCATGGTCATGTTCCAATAAAACTTTACTTATAAATAGTGATAGATGGATTCCATAGGACTATCTTGGGTCAGGAAATATTCTTCTCTTGGTTTTTTTTTCAACCATTTAAAAATAATAAGAACCATTTTTAGCTCAAAGGCCACACAAAAAGGGGTGGCAGGACAGCTTCAGCCCTTAGCCATAGTTTGCTACACATGGCTTAGGGAATGAATATGCAAAGATCTGACTTCATGTCAGACAGGAAACATTCCTTCGCTGGGCCTAAAATCCAGACAGCCGAACGCGATTATTCGGTGGCCCAAAAGCAACGTTTTGGACTGAATCGTCACTGGCAGACTCCAGTTTGAGGAGCAGAGCTGGGAAAAGAATCTGAGCTCTCCAGCCATGACTCCCAGTCACAAGGTCTAACCACTAGACCACAACCTCACCGAAATAACTATCCAGCCTTTCCAAAATGGAAGTTTGAAAAGCCCTGAGCAATTCTGACTGGAAAAGGTTCTCGTGTTCGAAAGTTCTCACCCACTTCCCAGGAAACACTGGCAACGTGTCACATGTCATCGAATCATCTGGAAAGAGCACCAGGCAGAAATGCCAC